ACACACACACACACACACACACACACACACAGAGGTATCAAACTACACACAGCTCAGCTCACAGACTTCACCACAGAAGAAGTGGCCAGCAGCAGGCATACAGCATGACCCTGAATCAGATCAAGACCAAAAAGCTGCAGGGCTCGCTGGCTTTCAACATCTGTTCTGTGGAGTTTAAATTTCTTGAGTCTCTCTCCACCTCTAAAGCATCACTCAGCAGATCAGCTCCTGCTGTATGGGGAAGGGGGGCTCGCTGAAGGAGAAGGTCTTACGGCCTGTCTTCAGCTCACCTTGACCTGGGCATGTGAAGTATGACTCAATCAAGTCCAGCTCGGGGGAGGGAGCTGGGCTCTCGGGCTCCGACTCGGACTGACTAGTCTCTGGCTCGTCCAGAGAGGAGGCTGGCCTGGTGTGGAGGTGCGGGTGGGAGTGGGGATGGGACAGCGAGTTCAGCCAGGGGTGGCGGAGGCCTTCTTCTGCTGTGGCTCTCTTCCTGCACACACAAACACAATAACGCTGTGGATGACTGGAAATTCCCAGAGTTTACATAAGTAATGGATCGCCTGGATCTTCTGATTCACTCAAACCATTCTCTTATAGATGTCAGCCTTATTTCTTTTCAACATTTGGTTTGTAAGACCACAAGAAAAAGCAATTTTTGCTCTCTAGGTATTTTCCCCTCCATCTCTCACCGATTAGTCAAACACTGAGGTATCATCCACTTTTTCCCTACCCCACCACTAATCTGCTGCAATGACTGCCTGGAGTTTATGGCTCCAAATGTGAGACAGGAGGGTGCTGCTACTTTTCATGTATAAACCGACGTGACAAATTAAGGGGTTTATGCTGGAGCCTTCAATCTGATTTAGGGTTAGAGTTTAAGGTCATCATGAATATGGTTACATAGCTCGTATTGGAAATCATTTTAAGCTCAACTGTTCTTTCAACATGGTGACATTTAAAGCTGATGCATCAGTGTCTAGTGTAATGTAAACCAAATAATCTGATATGTTTAAATGAGGTGAGCTTTTAACCACCATTTGCATAAAAGGAAATGAGTTCTCGCCTACGTGACGTAAATCTTGTTACCACACACTCATTTAGTTGAATGCGCTTCTGTGAACCTGACTCACATCCTTGGTGTGTAAATCTGCTCAAACCGACGCAGATGGTAACTCGCCGTTTTAGCCATAATCAGAACATCTTATCATTATTACTGTAAATGGCCTCACCTGGGGTTTTTAACCAACAATGACTTGATGAAGTCAACAGCCAAGGAGGAGATCCCCTCAAATGTGTCTTGTGAGTAGTCGATGTTGACTTGGGAGATGTTAAGAAATGTCTCCTGCTTGTTGTCACCCAGGAAGGGAGATTCGCCTGTGAGCATGACATAGGTCAAGACGCCGATACTCCTGGCAGAGGGGAAGGAAGGAGGTTATGAGGCAATTTGTCTCCTTTTATTCTTGTGACACAATATAGCACAACAGTTTTGTCTGTCTTCCACTGTGCTTAGTCATTAATTAACTGCGAGAATGAAGCAACGACCTTTTGGTCAAAGGTTTGGACATAAAACTGTCCGCACGTTAGGGAGGTGATGTCACTGACTCAAATATATCTTTATTCCTAGAGGTAAGAAGATACTAAATAAGGTCTGCATGGCATCCACTAGAATAGGTGGAAAAGGTCTCATTAACCACTGTAGAATACTCACCACATATCTGTAGCAGTGCTAATGGGCTCATAGCTCAGGATCTCTGGTGCTGCAACAGAAAAAAATACATGGCCCCGTTTAGTCACAATAAAGAATGTTCAAACTGAAGAGGAAGAGGTGATTCTGAACTGAAGGCAGGACTCACCTACATACTCTGGGGTACCCAGGATCTCCCTGACTTCTGTGATGTTGTCCATGTGTCTGGACAAGCCAAAGTCCACAATACGAATATCCCCCAGAGGTCTGGCACTGGTCAGCAAGATATTCTGGGGCTAGAAAGGACACACACATAGATTAAATAGGAGGTACGTTACATAAGGATTCAAGAAGAGACTGGATATCTGAGCTCATTAATAACACATCAGTGTGAATGAGTTAAGGCATCTGAGGTAATTGGTCCCAAAAGGATTTGGGCTCAGGGGTCCTCTGAGCTCAGATCATCCACTAAGCATAGTGGACCAGACCAGACTGGAAACAGGTAGGATATTCCTGCCAACTACTTAGATGGCCCCATGGTTTGTGTGCGCAGATGCCATAGTGTGCGTACAACTGTGCTGAATTCTGGGTCAGACTGGCTGAATGCCAGCGCTGGTTGGAACGCCTGAGATAAACACAAGGCCATCGAGCCTAGGCCACTGAAATCTATTAAACCACAAGTGCAACTTGAGTCACCTCTTGAAACACTTAACTTCACACTACCTTAACATACACCATAGATTTGGTGTGTAATTTAGAACACATGCAGTTTGTTTTGTTGCTTATTCACTTTTAAAGAACTACATAACATGTCATAAGAATCCAGATCCTTTTTAAAGACACAGCCAGAATGAAAACCTCAGTGACCACTGCCTTGTTACCTCAGGGCTCATTAAAGAAAACATAACTCAGTAAGGTTCCTTTACCAGCTGATTCCTCATGGGAACATGCTCATGACACACTGAATGAAGTTGCATAACAAACACCACATCTCCCTCAGCCTAACACTTTAGAGAATACACAGTCCTATATTGTCATAATCTTTCATTACTTACTTTCAGATCCAGATGCACCACGTTGTTTCGATGCAGGAAGGCCACTCCACTCAGGATCTGCTTGGCCAGCCGGGTCACGTCTTTCTCTGTGAAGGCCTCGTCATTATCAGCAACACACTGGTTGAAGATTTCACCACCAGCGGCACTGGAAGGAAAATTCAGAAAACAAAACAAGGATAAGATGGGGGGGAGCTGTATATGAATTGATCATTCATTTTAATTTGTCATAATGAAATGTTCTCTAAACTACACATGCGCCCTTCCTCCCTGTTTGAATCGCACAAGTTGATAATAGCAAACGCCAATACATCCCATTAGTACAAGTTTAGTGGACAAACCCAAACTCATTTCCACTTTCTTTGAAATTATTTAACAGCCAGTCTGTTCATTTGTGTACTTTGGATTGAGGAAAAGTCCATCCACATCTACAGGCAGCAGAGATAAGAATGGTCATATAAGCTTACAGCAGGTTCAGATAAGGCCTTATACAGCAAGTTAACTTTCCATATCAAACAGGGAAAATAGCCCCAAAATGCTTAAATTATAAAAGGAACAGATCTTAGGCTATGAAGACACCAGAGAAGCTGCATAAAGGGCGGCAGGGGACTAGTGTCTGGTAGGTAACTACTGTATGAGCCCAAGCCTGCATAGTTCTCTACTAACAACTTACATGCAAGGGATTATCTGTTTTTGGACTTCAGTAATTAGACAACCTAACGGTGAGAGTCCCCCCCGCATGGTCCTGCTACGCTTTTGTAATAAGATAAAATGCAGCAGAGAAATGGTAGAAATTATCTTGGATGCTCTATTAGTCAGATCAATGCCTGAAGCTGACAGTTCACCCCAAAAAACCAAAACCATGTGTGGGGGATTTAGATGATACACATGCTTTAAATCTTCAGAGGAAAACTTTGTGACCAGGCCCTGGGCATATCTGTTACATAACCATCCAATCCAATGTTAGCCTCATAAACCTGTACTCTTTACTGTCCTCAGCTGTGAAAATAGCACCCATGTTTTGTTGGATATTGAGGATATCCGCCATTGGTCCCCTCTCTAATCTTTTTTTGGCTCCTAGCAAAACAATGCCACCTACCCTGTTGTTGCAATCGTGCTCAAACCTATCAACAACTCCCTAACAGTTTAAGAACAGTTGACACGTGAAATGAAACTTTCAGTCCGTTTACATCGTTCTGCACATGTATACCAAATGGTATTAGTGTTAGTGTTTTCATTTGGGAGAGGAAATGAAAGACATGAGTGTGGTCTGGCAAATGCTTTATTAAATGAAAACTGCACTAGAAAAAAAACTCCATGTCCTGTACTGAGCTGGTGTGATAGAGAATGAACTTGACCCATTATATACAGTACCTGTCTGAACAATTAAAGACCTAACAAAGTATTTTTCACTAGCTTCACCGAGCTGTCAGCAGAGCGCCTGAGAGGATTTAAAAGCTCGATAAAGACCATCTTGTTTAAGTTCAAAATGCTGCATGCGTTCCAGCCAGGCACTTAAGAATGATCCGATACTTCCCTGAAGTCCAATTATTCAAACATGTACTAGGTGTAAGCAAACTGATTCTGGATTAGCATTGGTTGGATTTGTGTAAATTATGTGTGTGTTGATATCATTTGTTTCTACATGTTTTGAAAGAATAAATCAAATCAAATATCGTCTCTGCACTGTCCCACCTTCCAAGAGGGTTAATGTACTCACTACTTCAACGTGTGGGCAGACATCCTCCCCTGCACAAACCCGCAAGAATAACCCCACTGTAATCAACATGAGTGAGGGCACAGAGAAGCTAAACAACTGTTTGAAGACTAGAGCTGAGAACAGATGAGCCTCCTCATAGTGGTTTCATTTGGTCAGAGTCCTCTTGGCTGACCACTAAGCTGGGCACCACTGACGTCACCCTGTCAGCCAGGTTTAATAAACCTATCCTGTCTGTTGGCTGAATTTTCTGCACAGCATGTGTACAGTCCAGTTAAAGACCGGTGAAGTCACTGGTGTTCTGGGCTACATTACAAGAAGGGAAGATATTGAAAGTAAAATTTACATTAAACATGGCACTGCTCTTTAAAACAAAGTATGCTAGAATAGGAAATGAAAAAAAAATTGTGAAATTCAAGCCATGCCATAGAAAAAAAGGATTATGCAGTTGAGCAAAAATCTCTCCTACAGTGTACTTCAGTATACCTGAAAAGAGAAGGCTATAAAGACGTATGCTTCATGGAGAATTCATCAACTTTAATGGTTTTAGCTACTGTGCACAAAATCATTTCAGAGCTTAGAGGTGATGCACGTACTGACGCATGATAGAGCTATACTTTGAAAGAATTCAACTTCTTACTTGCATTTCTCTGACATTACCATAAGGATGTGGTTGTGGCTACAAGAAGTGTATGTGCGTACACAACAGTTTATACCAGCGCGGTCCTGTGCTACTTTTTGGAGCCTTGCTTGCTGCTTACATTTAAACCCACAGGAAATGGAAAATGGTTTGCAATTCTTGAAACTCAAATGGAGGTCAGGCAGTTTGGAGATGGAGATGCAACTTTTCATTCGCCAAGAGTCTCATTGTGAACGCTCCTGCAGCTAAATGTAGAGTACAACAGATTTAGCACTTTAAGTGCTAAATACTGTGCATGTACATATATTGTGCTTCATTACATGCTCAGAGACATCTGGTGCCACTGCATTTGGCAGCCAGAGAGGAACTTTTAGACCAGTGCTGACTGACCCCCTGCTCTGTTTTCTCTGCAGTCATGCAGCAGTAACCTATGGTGCTACTTCCCTTTTCACACTTCAGTCAGGGGGGCAAACATAGCACACTCACCACCTCCCTGTGCCCCCTGCTGCTAACTACCCTAATTACAGGCTGTCATTACAGTGGTCAGGGGACACTTACTACATACTCCACATTATTTACAAAAGACCAGAGTCAGACAGCCAGGATGAACTTTCTACGGTAGGTCACTGAGCCAGTAGCTCATCTCAGCCAGTTCACCTGTATGTTGAAATCAGTACCTGAGAAATGAGCAATAAGTCCTCACAGTAAGGTTTATCTGACTCATTTGAAGCCCTATATTATCATTCTAATGTGGCAGTTTTGCCACATTGGTATTTAAAGTGACAGTTCCCACAGTCTAGTAGCGTAACAAGAGAATGAGATATAGAAGCCTACACTGAGACGAGCAAACCACAGAGAGGGAGACAGAGAGAGAGAATTTCCATTTAAAGGCAGAGCTCAACTCACAATAGTGCAAGGCTGTGTATTTGAAGCATGTGTGTTTTGAGGTGAGAAAGGCTTGCAGACGTAGCTGTATTCTCAGCAACTGGCACATTGCATCCTGTCAGCTATTCCTGTAAGCCAGGGAGTTTTTTTTTTTAATTTATTTTTGCATTTGTTGTCAGATCTGATAAAATCTCACAATTCACATGAAAACACAAATGCACTGACATTTTCATGTAAGGCTGTGTTCAGACTAAATTTCAAAGGTGTTAAAAAAAAAAAAACCCTGCAGCTCTCCCCATTTATTTCTATGGAGGAGTGCGTTCACTGCAGCCGGCACCAGCACCGCAGGGGCTCTGGCAAAATGACAACTGTACACTGCGAAAAAGTTGATCTGGTTCACCTTTCACCACACCAACCAGTGACATCATCTCGCAGAGGCGCTATGCTGACCAATCATACACAGGGGACAATTGGGACATGTACGCTCATGGGAAGAGGACTCTTTTGTTTGCCTTGTTAAAGTGTGCATTCAGTGCTATTCACTATTGAATTTTGGGTCAGGGTTAATGCACCATAACGACACGCCGTGCATTTTTGTTAGTACTTGATATTAAACTGTGTTTTTTCAAAATCTATCAATACCCACACACTGGTGGTAGAAATGATGCTAAGGTAGAGTAGGGTACGTTAGCGGCATAGCTAACCCCCCAAAAAACAACAAAATCTCTTGGGCTGGTATTGTCCACACCTACAACACTCCCCCTGCAACCCCTCACTCCGCTGACCTAAGCAGCCCCTTGCGTTAAACACAGCAGGGAGTTGCGTTTTTACCAGATCAGTCTGAACACTTGCTAAAGTACAGGATGTTGCATGATGTACATGTATAATTTGTCAGGTTTTCCTCAATCAAACATTTCTCCAAACAAACAGAACAAATCTTTGCTTATTAAACAGAAATGAATGAACATGCAGGAGAGTTTTCTTGCCACTTTGGTGCTCCGAAATCTCTCAGCCATTCCGCATGAGGAAAAACTCCAGTGATGGAAAGTTTCAAGTAAGTGATGATTAAAGGATTTTCACCTTCCTAATCAGAACCTAATCATTTCACCCTAGTTTTCCTGGCATACTCCAAATGCTAGGAAAAGTGAGGAACGTTTTAAAGGCCATTAACTGAACACTTTTGGCTTATATCAGTGTCGGTGCCAGCCAGGGAAAGGTGCGTGCATTAGAGTTTGAACACAAACTTTGGAGTGACAGACAAAGCTGTGGCTATTTAAAGGCCTTTGTGTATTTCTGTAACGTCTTACCACTCTAGAACAAGGATGATTTCAGTGTCAGTTTCGTAGACCTCATGCAGTGCCACAACATAAGGGTTTGCCTTGGCTGACTCCAGCATAGCGATCTCATTCAAGATGTCCTTGCGGCAGTCCCCGCCCTTCCGTCGTTTTCGCAGGAATTTGGCAGCGTACTGCTGCCCTGTCGCCTTCTCAACGCACTTCTTCACCACCGCAAACTTTCCCCTGGGAGATGAAGATGGCAGAGAGTGAGAGAGCGATTAGTGATGAGGCAGAAACATCACAACCACATTGCTGGCTTTTCAAACAGATTTGGTCAGAGAGTGTTCTGTTCCATGTCCAAGTCACCAAAAGAACTACAGGATCAAGTTTGGGTCACTTGAAATGCAGCAACTGAATGGCTAAAATTACTGGACATACTCATGAAAGCTAAACTGCTATGATTATAGTGCAAGACATGTGGAAAAGCCCACCAACTGGCCATAAGTGCAAACACTCTAGGCAAGATACAGAGATAAGAAGTTAAATAGCATCACTCAAAAATACAGATGCTGTTATTGACTACTGATATGCTCAGCTGAGGAGGCGTTGTCAGCCATTAGATTGAGATTTACCCTGTTCTCCTTGTTTTTTTTTAAGCTTTCTGGAGGGTCTGACCGGGCTGATAAGGCTGACAGTTTTGGCAGGAGCTGCTGAACAGCGGGCAGAGACCTGATAAGGCTTATGGCACAGAGAGCCGCAACGGCTTTTTCTTGCTGGAAACCGCTGATAAAATGAGATTTAAACAAAAACATCTACCTTCATGACGTCATCACTACAACTCATTTTTCTGCATACACACCGATTTATATAGGGTGCTAAAGGTCACCCGTGGGTGTGGGCAGGATGTCCGACGTGTGCATAATTGTCTGTCTGTGTCAAGCCGACCACAATCAACAGCTGTCCTTTCCAGGCTGATAATGAGGCGTTGTCCGCTTCCTTTTCTTCACAGCTGACAGCAGTATGGACAAATGAATTGTGTCAACGCCGCCTCTGCCCAGACCCTCGGCTAAAGCCTGTTTCTCCTTTGACCAACGTACAAAAGCTGACCAGTCAGCTAACACAGCAGCCCCAAGACCAGGACCACCCACCTGACTGATATTGGGTAGGCCGTGCATGGGGTCACTGCTGTTACAGTCAGTTTGGAGCCTAAGCAGCATGCCAGAATGGACACTATAACCTCCACATCTATATATCCAACTCACTGAGCTTCACAATGCACATAGACTGCAGAAGACTTACAAACAGTGACTGCATGATGTGAAAACATGAGTTGACTTGGACAAATCAAAATTAAATGGCCAATTCAGAATAATCCTTTTCCAGTCATTTTCCCACACAGCGTAAAGCTCCAAGTCCACTGTTCTGCAGACCAAAAACAGCAACTGTTCTGGCTGGAGCCTGGTTCTGTTTTGGTTGCCACCCCAGCCACTGTGAGGCTTGTCCTCTTTTGCCTTTCGCCAGTTTCTCAGAATGGCAATGACATATTGTTCCGAATGAAAAGGCAAAACCCATCAGAGTCTTTTCAGCCTTAATTAGCCAAGTTCAGAGCAGTTCACTGTGGGCTGGGAACTACATATGGAAAGAAAAGGAATGACCGCTGGCCACAGAAAGGAGCAACAGGAGGCCTTTTTAAAGGCTGCCAACAGGTCAAAGGTTATTAAAGATGGCCATCTTCCAGCCAGCCACATTCATGCTCAGAACTCAATGGTCATACTGGTCACACTGTAGTGCTTTGATGCAATATTTTACACATTAGGTTTATTTCCTTTTTGTGTTAAAACACAGTTAACTCAGCTACAGTAGAAAAACCTTTAACCGAACCATGACCAACACTCATGAGTCTGTTCCCACAAATACAACTATGCTGATCAAACAGCTCATTTGCAGGATTTGTCCTCAGTGGAATCTGTCTGAAACTAGCCTGCCATCAATCATCAACTTTGCTGTGACATAAAACTAATTCTTTGCCAGGACTGTAGATGATGATAATTTGATTGAGAAACTGGCTTCCCATGGAGTCTGCATTCTGTCTCCCTCAGCAGGGCACTGACCCATGTCTGAAGTGCAATGAAAAAATGACAGCTCTCATTTGCCTACTTCACAGACACGGTGAGACACAACAGGAGTTTCTCTTCCTGCATTTTGAGTTGGCCACATTTTATTATGCACACTTTCACAGGGGCCCATGGTTTGTAATGCAAAGCTTGATGATGGTCTAGATCCCTCCTAATGTACAGACTATATAGCTGGTCTCCTGGCATGCAGAGGGACATGCATTCCTTTGCTTATGAGGCTTGATCTCAGGATGTTGTTGGTTTGGACCCATAAGAGGGTGGGGGGTTGTGGGGGAGACGGGTGGGAGAGGAGGCATTTAGAGGCTGCTATGGCCTAAAACTCAACCAAACCTATTAGCCTCAAGCTAACCCCCCATAGGTTTTGGCTGCTGTCCCATGTGTCTGACAAGAAAAACTGTCAGCTGCCAAGTGCCTGCTGCAATGGACTGGCTACCAGCCTATACTACCGCAGTGCAGATGGAAAAAAAAACTTCACAGTGAAAACTGGAGTTATAGCAACAGATGCAGAATTGGCACAAATAGATCAGCTGTTGCGTTAAGTGGAACCCAAGAAGTCCACTGCAGTTCCTTATCTAAATTCAAAATGCTTTTTGGGAAAGTCATTTTGGCTGGCATACTGTGGAATTCCCGCTTACATATCTTTGGAATATGCACGTCCAGATATCTGTCAACCTACCCCACACAAGGCTGACAGTAAACAATACATTTCATGCTGAATCACTTGAGCAAACAGGTATGCAACAGGGCAAGTTAACAATCCTTTAAGTCTATACAATCACTTAGTCTGCATAAAGAATATTTAGCAACATACCATGAAATCTGTAATACTATAACAAATTGGTAGTGAAGTTGAGCTAATGGCATTTGAGGACGTTTACATTTAACCACAACATCAACAGAACAACAACGTGGGGTTTTGAAATCTAGGTAGTAATATCATGTTTTCAGTATTTCTTAAAGCAAATCTATTTATAGAGCACATTTAAAAACAACTTAAGTGCTTTTCAAATTTCAATAAACGGTACAAAGATGGCAGACATACTATAAAACAGTGAGTCTACAACTTAGATTTAAAGACCCTCCTTTCTGGCACCAGCATTGCCAAGCTACCCGTTACTATCTGCCTCATTTTTTAAACTATTGGATCAGAAAGTCGAAAACTTTTCAGCAACTTTCAGACAAAGATGCACAAAAGCGCATTCCTGGTGCCAAAGCGCGTCTCCATCCGCGTCTTTCCTCGTGATGGAATTCGGGATTAGAAATGATCAGTTAACATGCTTCCCATTATCACGTGCAAAGAGCAACTCCAAAATGATTATACGATTTGCATAAACTTGTTAGTATTCTGTAGGAAAACGCAGCACGCCAGCACAAGAACAAAGTCGGCACAGGGATTATTTTTTCCATCAATGAACGCTGAAGTCTTTTCGTGCCACAAACAAACTCACCTGCCCAATTCTTTGCCGACCAACTCGTAATTGGCTGTGAAGGGGTCGGTTCTAATCCTCGTGTGGATTTTTGTCAGCATTCCGTTTTTGCTCATCGTTGCTGAATCTATCATTGAAGTCGCGATTGAAGGGAAATAATTTCTTCTTTTTCGAAAAATAGACAACAATGACGATTTTCTGATCCGGTCAAGTAAAAACTCGCATGATAAATAAAAAGGTCGATTAGAGGTACGAGTAACAGCAGGTGTGCCAAACCACCAGGAGGTAATCCAGGTTAAGCGTGTCGCCAATGACAGGACGGTATCCTCCGAGAGTGCAACACAGTCGATGCGGTAAATTAGTTTGTGCGCTATTACGCACTCCTGACAATAAAGTCCATGTCAGACCCAGCCTCCACTACCGACGCTCAGCGGTGGAAGCCAATGAATGCGATGAAGAGGGCGGACACAAGCTGCCAGTCAATTGGCAATGGTGCGTTCAAGTCACGGGAGGTTATTAGTGCAGATACACAACATAAAAACATACGATAATAACATTATGACAGTGATTGAAAATGAATCCTCCTTCTACATATAATAGGACACAAATATCAGTGTAAACGTGCTGATACTAGTGTGCACATAATCCCCTTGTGATTTACAACAGTTTATTATGTAAGTTTACATTTGTCAGCCTTAAGGTGTAGGTAGAATAATTAATAAGCCATTAACCTCAACCTTGACTGTACATGATTAATGCTTTCCCTCCTTAGTTCTAACCCCATATTATTTACTCCTGTAGTACTGTAGATACATACAGAGTCAACAAAACACATATGCATACACATACACTCACAGACATTTTCAGCATGTTTATTTCCTGCTACTTATTCTGGGCTTGGCTGAGCTACAGTTGAAACTTGACTTTTCCCACACAGCGCTGAGTCATGACTATGAAGCTGGGGTATGAAAGCTTTCTGCACTGATTTGTCTGTCTGATGTGAACCTGTGTGCCATTAAAGAAGAATTCTAAGCATCCCATTTGACAACTTGTCAGTTGGAAAGTGCTGTGATGTACTACAGGTGGTTTTCTTTCTTCTCAGTTTGCTACAGTATAAGTCAGAATTAAAGCACATACTAGTGTGACGTTAGCCTGTAGCCAGGATAGTGAATGTAAAGACAAGCCCATGAGGAAAGTCTGGTATGGGCATTCACGGACTGCAGTAGGGTCTGGGTGACAATGAACTGAGCCCCATGGGAAATGTGTCACTTAAGCTCCAGGGGCTTGCTGAAGCTAAAACTGTGAAACTGTGAAGTTGTCAGATCAGAAAGACAGAGGCCTGGGCTGACCCCAAGCAAACAAAACAGCACACACAACCACAGCAGCTGAGAGTCCGTCCCAGACAATAAAGGAACTGGTGATGGAGGCTGTGGTTTAGGAGCTCCGTTTGCACATCTTATAAAAAAAAACATATGAGACATTTGCCATGTTTAAAAGCATTGATGACCTTGTGTGTGAGCTAAGAAGTCAGGCTCATGCTGGATAGTCACTGCTGTCTAGGGCTATTGCTAAGAATGATTATCATTGCTAATTATTTTTTAGATTGTTATAAATATCTGTGGATCAACAAACAGGTTAATTGGCAGTTTTTCCAGCAATCTTGACACCATGTTAGCAGGTGCATACATCCCTAAAGAAGGGAGAGACTCACATCGCCCAGCATTTTTCATGCTCCTGTGGTAAACGAGGAGATGAGTATTTGTGTTGCCCTGAGGGAAGGGAGGGGAAGGAGTGACAAAAAAAGAAAATGATAGGATGACAGTTTCATGGTCCATGGCTGAGGACATTGCTAGTGGTTGGTCACATGCCCTACATAGCACACAGAGAAAGATTTGTCTAAAGCTAATTTTGTTGCCACAAACAGCAGTCAATGTAAGAGACCCATTGAGAGCAGACATTCCTCAGGCTCTACCAAGTCATTAGTGTCCAGTGAGCAGGTTACATAACCTGTTATAACTCCTCAAATTGTTACCTTTAGTCTAAGTGAGCCCACTCTGAAGCCTTGACCCTCTCTCTTTGCCAGGCTTTCCATTAAAGCCAGGGTCAGAGTTCAGAGGAGCCATGTTAGTGAGGGAGATCTACCCAGCTCCAGAGACCTAATAAAAACACATACCAGTGAATTAGCCTGCCAGCCTGTGGTTTATCTAACATAAATATGAGAAGTTCAGCCGTGACCTGCGGAACACTTTTGGAGCCACTGGAACAAATGGACATAAGTCATGACAGGGTCAAAAACCATGGCTCTTGTTCTTTTACAAGACCCCATCTACCAAGTAACATCTGGGCCTGTTCCAAAATGGGCAGGCGATAATGTTTCAACTTTGGCCTGAGTTTGAGTTTATGACCGTAACATAGAATAGATGACAGCTTTATTGTCCAAGATACTGTCTCATTAAATAAGTGTTTTCACCTGTTGCATTTGAATGACCACAATGACTTGTGTTTGCCCCGGGCTGATAACTTGGAGGAGGTATGGTGACGAGATGTGCCATCAGCCAGCACCGGCAAATGTCAGACTGATTACGTTAGACATGGGTTTGTAGATGTAGACAGCTCTTACAGAGAAAATATTTTTTGCGTCTTTCATTACTTTCTTTCTTTTATTTTCTTAGTTTTGCCCCATTTCTGAATGAGAACATCTGCTGATAGTAGCTTTCACACAAGCAATGTTTTGTAAAAATGAAAAAGCCATCAACCTTTCTTAGGAAATGCACTTTGTTTACAAGGCCTATATGCAAACTCGCAAAATGTTGAATCCTTGCAGAGCATTATTGCTAGCTGTCTACATTTTTTGTTTGTGGTTCTTAGTTATAAACTACTGTTTATGCAGAAAGGGGAATCTATGTAATGAATGGGTTCAGACTCAGGAGGACTACTTGGTAATCTCACCTCAGTTGATAAGTGTTCCCTGTCTTCTTTGGCGCTTCAGTAAATATATTATCTATCACGTGTTGAGCAATTTGTAATTAACAAGCAGCTGTTGCTTTAGCGGGAAAAAAAGCTCAGTGTGTCTGCAATAGCAAATACTAATTTGTTTGGGTAGATAGCAGGTTGCCACTTATAGGGTTAGCAAGGGCTAACAGCAGCCCTATTTAGTACATGATGTCATGCTTTCATTAACTCTGTAAATCATTTGTGCTGTGGTGTAACAGTGGTGAGCCTGGGTTTCACCATGGTGTGATCTCTAATCGGTTACCTAAAGGTAAAGCAGTCTGAATAAAGCAGAAAATATCTTGCATCTCATAAAACAAAACAGATCAATAGCTCTGCTTGATTTAGATGCTTATCACACCACCCATGTCTTAATGGCCCTTTCACTTCAGGAGTACAGGGTTATTTCCAGAGCTGACGCTCGAACAGAATTAAAAGATAAGTTCCTAATCCTTTTGGCAAAGAAGAAGAACTGAAGGAAGGTTAAAAAAATAATGCATCAGAATAGACTGGAGACCACTTTGCCTTGTTTGTAGTCAAACGACAGAGCATGGCAAATAGGTGTCGAGAGGAAGTGGTGTGTGGCCTTGTCAGGGTGCAGTCTGTTAGTTACAGTCAGTCAAGTTAGTGCATTATTTTATCATGTGAAGTTAGCTGTGGAGTTGGAGCTTCTAAAATAAAGCTGTGATGTGAAGTATTATAATGTTTGTCAACTAAAATCATACTAGTTTAAAAAAAATCTATACACAGGAATAATAGTTAATGCATTTACACATTCTTTCACTTTAACAAGTAGCAATGGAGCAGCTACAACAAACCTCCTAAATATGGCCGTGTCTTGATGTCTGCAAGTTAATTACAGTAGGACTACTGCAAAGCATGCATACAGTGCATGGCTTTAGTGACTATTGACAGGGGCTTGGAAACTGTCAGCATTTCTCTACCTAATAATTTCACTCTCCTGACCAGAAAACCAACTGGGAAAATCTGACATGATGGTCAGGATAGATGCAACATATGAGAAACACTGAGGACAGACAGAGCAGGGCACTGGGAATCCTTGTGTTTAAATTGCAGACCCAGTGATCCCAGTGGAACGCTTGAATGTGAACTGCACTTTTTTTTTTTACCCACAAATATGAAATAGATTTTTTACAGACTTATTTTTCCTTTGGCGCCAAGCAGACGAAGTTTCATACCAATAAAATATTTTTAACTATTTTTTTAGATTTTTTTTTGTTACTTTGCACTGGGTCAATTTGACCCAGAACATAACAGGAAGGTTAAGTTCAGAGTGTGTGGGTTGGTGCAAAGCAGCAGCACAGGAAGAGAGGGATGAAACAGAGAGAAGATGAAAGATGGAGTCAGGTAGAGGCAGCAGATGAGACGTTTGACCACATCCTGCCTTCTGCTCTGGCAGTGTGAGCTGCCAGACCTCAGGAATTCATAACTGTAGCTGTGCACATATCTGCTAGACGCTGTTTGCACGTGAAGGCAGTGATTTTGCTAAGGTGCTTATTTCCTTCACACAAAAGGAAAAAAAATGATGAGCATGTACAACACAGGCAGATGAATTAGAAAGAGATTGTAGAAGCAAGAGCCACTGTTGCATTGATATGGGAAATCATCTTCTGTATCAACAAAATATAGGATAGAAGCAGCAGCTGTCTGCCTAACTCTACATGCAAGACTCTCCAAACAGCTTAACAAAGCTCATTTAGGCTGGCCAAAATAGCTACATGCAGCTTTAGATATTACACCATCTTAAAGGCTGTTAGGGTGTAGGCAGTGACAGATGCAGCCAGGCTTAACCACGGGCAGACACACAACTTAGAAATTGAAAGGACTTCTTCAGCTGTTGCCTCTGTGTCTGTCCCCACCCCTACCCCCACTCCGCCCCTCGTCGCATCATTATCACATTAATCCAACAACAGGCACATATAGCACTCCATAGCTTGACTCAAATGCTTTATAGCAAACAACACTTCCATTACTCAAGATAATGTTATATACAACTTTAGTAATTTAATAAAAGCCTCCTTCTTAGACCAGATGAAAAACTGTCCAACATGGTCCCGCACCTGTTGCCATCCATCAAAAACTTATCTGTGAGTGTTGCCAAAGCAAATTACTGTTGTCTTAGTTGGGGCTTCAGGACATGGAAAAATGTTTGTAAAACAGTGCAGTTGCAGTCAGATGGTAATAAACTTAATTTCCCAGAAACACGAGATAAAAATGGTGGAATGTGGCTTTTCTCTCCTTTTTTTGAGACGAAGTGTTAAAACTAAAGACTAATCAGCAAGGGAAGAGTAGAAATGGCTCAAATGTTAAAGGAAGTGATTGTATGAGACATGCCAGCAGGTGGAAGAAGGATGAGAGAAGGAAACAGGAAATGGGGAAGCGTAGGAATCAATTAGGAATGTAGAACTCAGGAGAAAAATG